CCCACTTGACCCTTGAGGTCCAGCTTCACCAGCAGGGACTCACCCCCGACAAGCTCCGTAGCAGGGCTCCTACGAGGTACTAAAGACTCCCGGACTACAATAGCCCAATTATTGGGAAATGAGGCAAACTTTGAGGGGTTCAAAGGATTTCTGATAGCAAAAGAATATAGAGGCTTTGGGAGAACAATATGAGGCTTTTAACAGATTTGGCATTAAGTGATCATCTGATTTAGTACTACTGGAAGAATTTCTATCTACTTTAAATGATCAATTGATGATCCATATCAAATTACTCTCAAGTGAAGAACCTCCTTTGGAACTGGATTTAAGACTAACATAGTGTTATATGATAATTCACTAATGCACAACCATTCCTAAAATCAGATTCATTTTATACACAATAAGAGAAATATTCCAAAAATGCATTCATCAAGAGGAAGATAATAAAGGAAAACAATACTGATCTTTTTTGCAAGACCTGAATTTCTCAGAAAGCATAGTTGCAAAAAGCAAAGCTGAAAAGACTGACTGTTCAGTCATGATTTGACATGATCTTATCAACAGTAACTATAATCCATGAGTTCCCAGTCTGATAGATCTGGTAGAGGGAGAAGGTAGCTGGCTAAGAACTGGCCACATGATAGCTTATGTTCAAGGACAACTAGTCTCCTTCATTGATTTAATCTGGCAATAGAGCTGATTGGAATAGAGTTTATTCCTTTGCTCCTTCCATACATATAAGTCTTCAAATTCTTCAAAAGTCCCAATAAAGGAGGCCGCATAGCTCTTTGAGTCAATAACTTTCAATTATATTATTATTTCAATACTTTTACTGACTTGTTAATCTTGTTTTCCATTGTTAAACAGAGCAAAAGCAAAAGAGGAGAAAAGTGGAAAAATACAAAATATTTGTTTGTTTGTTTGTTTGTTTAAAATTTATTTGCCACCATCTCGCCATGAGGCTATTCTAGGCAGTTTACAGCAGTACAACATAAAACCATAAGAATTGTAACTATAACACTAGTAAATAATGAAACAATAAAAATAAATAATGAAAATACAGCAATATACATTTTAAAATAGGCAGGGAAGGAACAGGATGTGCAGCAGGGTTGTCTGCTATTAGTCTAATAGCCTTAACCTATGAAGAATTACCTTTAGAAGTAAGTTAAATATTGAGGTGAAAAAGGAAAAAAGAATGAGCAAGGTTTGCAATTACTATTTGTTTTAATGAGAAAAGACAAAATGCTCTTGGATATGGTCAAGGAATTAAATCAGTGAGGTTTCATCAGGAGAAGGAAGAACAATTCTCTGTCACTTGATTTTCTACCTGTATAGTCCAGATGGTATGCATGTGATCCCCAAATGATCAGTTTCAATTCAGTGCTATATGCTTAATAAATTCTTGTAAAATTCACAATATAATTTATTTTCTACTTACCATCAGGCTGCAGAAGAGAAACACTTTCAGATGTAAATTCTGTTTGTATTTCATTCATAATTGTGTCTAGATTTGCCATGAGAGATTGTCTTTGGTTGGTTAGTTCCTGTAGCTTATAATCTAGAAATATTGTATATAACGTCATAAAAATCATATATTATGAAATCAGACTATTAACCACTATCACAATTTCTATCAATTATCATATGTAAATGATATTTGCTTTTGGTTCAGTGCAATGGTGGGTTCTGGCAGAAACTACTGGAACCGGCAGAGCCAGTATGCTCAGGGGCATACCATGCATGCTCTGTGGGTATGCACATGCATAGTTTAACTAAAATTGCTCTGAGCATGCACAGAAACAAAAAACAAGATGGCAGCACTGGTTCAGAGGTATGGCAGACCTGGATCACCAGCAACCCAGGCCACCAAGCTACTACTGGTTCAGGCCGAACTGGTCTAAACCGGTAAGAACCAACCACTGGTTCAGTGGTTATTTCATCTTGATGGATGCTTTTTTATGATCTTAATAATACATTTTATTTTTATTTTTCCAGACATCATTAAAAGATCATTAATTCTCTTTTGTGTTATATTTCTGTCATTCTGTCCTTGGCCTTTCTTCAGGGGTAAAATGCTACCATTTCGGGCCAGTTCACTCGAAGCGGTAGTAAAAAAAAAATGCTTTAAAAAGTTTTTTTTAAGTAAGTTTTTTTTAAGTTCTGATGATCAGCTGTGTGACAATCAGCTGTGCCAGGCAATCATTGGAACCATTTTTTTTTAATTTTTGAAGCATTTTTTTTTACTACGGATCACCTATGGTGACTATTTGTGAGGTTCCTGTTTTTTTCAGGGGACATTTTATGTGAAGTCCAACTGCTTTTACATTGCGTATGAGTAAATTGTGCAGCCATGGCCACCGGGTTACATGACCACCACGCCATGCCTGTTCGGTCATATGACTCCCATGACCACCCAGTCACATGACCACCAAGCTATGCCTAACAAGCCACACCCACAGAAATGGTAGGGATTTTTTTTGAATTTCATCACTGCCTTTCTTGTTTCATTATGGCAGTCTGCATTCAATCAACATGCATCTTTGTTACCCAAGCTTTTCATCTTCTTTGTTTTTACTTCACAATACAATACGTTGCTTAGAAAACTGCTTGAATCTTTTTCCTTTTTGAAATTTTGGAAATACTTTTCCTACTTTAATTTTCTTTACATGGTTCATTTTATTTGCATGTAACTTTCATCAATTTCTTAAATGTATCTCATTGATGATTACTCTAACTACATCAGTACTGAATTATTTAAATCTCTTTATACTATAAATATAGGCTGCCAGGCTGCAATTATGTTCCTTTTAGAATTTTGGCCTGCCACACTTTCTCTTATTTCATTATGCTGTTTCATTAGCATAGTTGATGGGAAGGGGGAATAGACAGGAGTAGGATTGTGGAATGTATTGTTGTCATTCTTTTCTAGAAGACCAAGGTCATCTTTTGTCTCCGTACCTTGGAGCCTGACCGGAAGCAGCTGGGTGGAGATGCCAGTGTGGAAGAAGATTTGACCATGTGATGGATTGTGGGTGTGGGGACAAGATCATGAACTTTTAACTGGGTGGAATTCTGATGTAATTTCCAAAATTGGGATTACACAGATGTGCTAAGATGTCTGCTTTATTAAATTGGAACTTTAAGGATCGTTTTGCCTTGGACTCTGATTTAATTCTACATGATACTTGGAACGCTGACATAGGCTTTTCTTTGCAAAACCTGGCACAAATCTGTCACATTCACTTATCTAATTAAAATATTGTCCTCAATTTTTCCAATTTTTATTTATGTACTTATTTATTAGATTTGTATCCCATCTTTCCTCTAGGAAATTACAACAGTGAACATATTAACTCATGCAACTTTCTCATACCAACTTTGTAACCTGTGAGATATGGGCTGAGACAAAGTAACTGGTTCACAATTATTCAATCAATTATATCATTAAATTGCTTTTAATATGTATCTTCCCAAATTAACCCTACACTAGACTAACTCTTTTGCTTTTCAGCCATCATTGATTTCCCCCTTACTGTTGTATCTAAGGACTTTTGTCTTTTACTAAATAATTCTTCAATATTTTTCTCTAAATCTGCAATAGGTGCATAGACTTGCATAATTTATGTTTTCTGCATGTCTTCTAGTTTAGATGTTGCAGCTGATGATGTCATGATTTAGTTATAACTAAGTTAAACTTAATAATATATTTTTATTATCACTGCCACTCTATTCTTTATAAACACTTCCTTTGAAAATTTATTATATTGTAAACTAGATGTCATGACCCTTCCTGTCTATCTAAATTTGTATATTTAGATTCCAATTTAGGAAACCAATTGCTTCTACTATTTCTGATTTTCCTTGGAATCATGTTTCCATGCACCCATTGTAGATAACTAATTCTAAATGTCTTTGCAAAGTCTTTCTTTCATTGTAGGTATCACATGACCAGATTTTCAGTGGTTTTGATGTAGCCAGGAATGCTCAAATGTCATTTAGGGTCTCCCCAAAAGGCCATCTGACTGCTTCTCATCCAAAAAGCTGCTTCAGCTTAACTTCTTCAGAACTAAAGAAGCTTCTTAGATGAGAAATGTCATGAAAGAAGCAAAATGTCTTCAAAGAAAAACCAGAAAGTTCAGTTGCCTCATGAAAAAGCACTTTTGGGACATTAAAATCATTAGTTAAAGATACTTAGAAGCTTTACCATTATCCACATTCATTTTTGTTTGCCTGTTGCTTGAATGCTGAAATTGCAGTTAAAAACAGTAAATGAGGTACAAATGTTGTCCTTAGGTAAGCAGGCTTATAAAACCCAATGTTTTCCTCTTCAATATAACTCTGTGTCTCTTAATTCAGTTTCTCATCTCCAGTTACCAAATGAAGACAATACAACTCTATTGTGAAGTGCTTTTGTTCAGTTTCCTGTATTCCCATGAACGAAAAAACAAAACACCCTCCTGATACCATTACAACCAATATCTGTAATACTGAGATGGATGTATCACTGGTCCAACTAATATAAAGAAATTCCTATATTCCTAAATGTTTGATATTGTTGTTCACATAATACAAAAACCCAGATACATACCACTGATGCTGCCTGGCTGGCTAATTGCAAGAGCCCTAGCATTCTGTAGTTCTTTTTCATTTGATTCCACCTTTTCTAGTAGCTGTTGCTGCTCCATAAACAATTCATGTAATTCTCTTTCTGAAAGAAGAAATATTTTTTCACTCATCTTTTGAGAAACATTTTAGAAGTTATGAATTTATGTATTATTTTAAATATTTTAAACTGTGAATTATTATTCAGAATGAAATAAACATAATGAACATTATAACATAGTAACATACAAAACTTTTTAAAAACCAACAAGGCAGATTCATATCATAATTATCATATTTAGACAATTCACATATAGTGGGATATATTGCTAAGTCTTAAAACTGCATACAATGCATCAAGATGTTTAATTCTTGATTTGGTTTTGTTTTCTTTAAAAATGTTACATTGTTTTGATACATACATATTATATATATTATTTTGAAAAATTGGTATATATAGCATTGACTAGACATTATTAATGCTGCCGTGTTTAGATAACTTAAAACCTTACCTTAAAGATAAAAATATGACATTAACTATAATCTGAAATGTTGATATTAGGAATTATGAACATAAAATTATTTATATGTTATATTCAAAGCTGAATATAATCTAATAAACATGGCCTTTAATTTTGAAAACATATTAATTTAGTTCATAAGCATGCTAAAAACCTTGATTATTTTTCTGAGAAATCATTAGAGGCAATAAATTATTATATATAAGAATTAGAATAAGAAATGGAGTGAGAAGAATATACATTAATTCCAGATTTGCTTAAAGTGTACACTGAGTTTATAATGGGAATGTTATGGTTCAAAGAAAGATAACAACTCCCATCATGAAAAGAAAAAAAAATGTAAAAGGAAAAAGGCAAGAGCTGAGGTCAGGTTGAGCTAGTTGCTGCCTCACCGTGGATGACTGCTTAACTGTTTAAAAAAGCCTCTAAAAAAGCTCCCTCTACTATGAGGCAGGAGAACTTGTGCCTCATCTAGTCTGACTTTAGGCGTTTTATGATCACTCGAGCAGAGTTAAGCAAGGGTTAAAAGCCTAAAAATTCCTGACGTAGGTGAGGCATGCAGTTCTTCTACCTTATAGTAGAAGGCGCTCGTTTGGGCAGGGCTTCTTCAGGCAAGAGCAGAGTTGAAATTCTCTCTGAAACAGCTGGAAAAGATACATGTGGGTTGGAGGGAGGGGGAGGAATTCAAACTTCATCCTCCTGGTGCGAGGATTTGGGCAAAGGCTGGAGGGAAGGACCCTGGATCTCTTGAGCTCTCCCTCCCCAAGTGTAGTTTGATTGCAGGCAGAGCCATGTTGCCTTTTCAAACCTGTAATCAGTGAAGCTGGACTGGATCCTTCCGGAGCTGGGTGAAAGTATGTGTGCTCCAGTATGGCTCTTTGACTGGCTTCCTGCCTCCTCCTATGGTCTCCTCTCTGGTGCTCTCCCTCCAATCCAACTCTCTGTGTGTGTGTATGTGTGTGTATGTGTGTTTGAGAGAGTGTGAATCATTACTTTTTACTGATTTTATATTGGGTTTTTATCTTTGTAAGCTGCCTCAAGTCACTGAGAGCAAGTTGGGTAGCCATAATTTTTTTATTAAATAAATAAGTATATGAGGTAATAAGGCAAAGGCATAAATCTCTTACGGAAATAACCTTTATCACACAAGATCATGAAAGGTGTGAATTAGCTCTGCTAATCAAAATGAAAATCATTACACTAGTAACGGGTAAAAGTTGGCCACCCAAACATGGATCTGAAATTAATACTAAAAAAAGGAGAAATCGGTAACTCATGACTACTTGAGACTGATTGCCCCCCACTTAAGGAAAAGCTCACCCAGCATAAACTCACATCTTTTGCTCATGTCATGCAAGATAATGATGGACCAAGGAAATCATTTGCTTTATAAGCTTGAAAGAAATATTAGGGAAAACCAAAAATCTAGCTAGATGAATGGGATTATTTTTCCCTCATCATCTTTTAGTTGATATATAATTCTTTTTTCTCTTTCATTCTTCAAACTGTATGCCAACCCTCGTCCAGGTTTGTTGGCTTGTTCAAAATAATTTTGTTTGGCTGCTTTAATTTTCTGTGCTAATTCTTTTTGAGTTATTAAGTTGATCTTATGTTTTATCATCTCTCTTTTTTCTTTTTTAATTTTATTCTTTGGATCCGTCTGTAATTCAGTTTCGGCTTCCTTAAGTTATTTTTGCATGCATTCTTGTTTCTCTTTTTGTTTTCTAATTTTTCTCGCAATGCAGGCAATCATGAGGCATCTTGTGTATGCTTTCATAGTGTCCCAGAGAATTTGAATTGAGATGTCTTCTTTTTTATTTATTTTAAAGAATAGTTTTAATTCTTTCTCCAGCATTTGAGTGTATTCTATTTCATTTACAATATTTGAGTTCATCATCCATCTTTTACTTCTTTTTTGGTCTTTCCATCCTAATTTTATTGGGTTATGGTCTGCCCATTCATTTGCTTCAATTTCAATTTCCTCTAATTGATTACATAGAGCAGATGATATCCAGGCCATGTAAATTCTTGATAAGGACTGGAGGGAGTTCGAATAAAAAGTATATTGCTTTCTTGTTTTGCACTTTTCTCTCCAAATATTATGTAGTTTATATTCCATTGCCATCTCAAAAAAGGATTTAGATAACATTTTTTTTTGTTTTATTTTTTCTTTTGGATTCATAGTCCATTTTTTATTCACTATTGCGTTATAATCCCCAATTATGTAAATATTTTCATATTCTAGTTCATTTATTTTGTTGTGTACTTTCTTATAGAATTGCTCTTGCTTCTGATTTGGTGCATATATCACTATTAATAATATTGATTTTTCTGTTCTCTCTAATTCAATCATTAGAATCCTGCCTTCTTCATCAAACTGCTTTGGAGTTTATTTTTTCCTTTGTATAAGCTGCTATCCCTCTTTTTTTTAATCTGCCAGAGCTGTACATAATTTCTCTAATTTTCTGTTTTACAGTAAATTAATATGCTTCCTTTTAATGTGTGCTTCCTGTAAACAGGTTATATCTGCCTTCAGTTTCCTCAGTTTGTTAAACATCTGTGCTATTTTTTTGGTGCATTCAGTCCATTCAAGTTTATCGAGATAGCTGTTATTTCCTGATCCATGTTTATATGTGATGTTTTTTATTGCTTCTGGTTTGTATCTGACTTTTCCCTCTCATGCCTTCCCTTTCTGCTCTCTTTCTTCTTTTTTGTTTCTTTCCTTGTTTTCTGATGTTTCTTCTTCTTGGCTTCTACTTTCTTGGTACTCTTTACTTCCTTGTTCTTCTTCCCATGTGCAATATTTTTCGTAGAATTCCTGCGCTTCTTCTATATTCTCTATTTTATATCTTTTTCCTTGCCAAGAGATCAATATCCCTTCTGGTACCAACCATCTGTACATTATTCTGTTTTTATTTAACTAATTAGTTAAGAATTGGTACTGTCTACATTGTTCCTGTACTCTCCGATGTGTTTGAGCATAATCAGCTCTTTTCCCTTGAATGCTATCGTCCCTTCTCTGGTTTTTTTCTACACTTCATCTCTAATTGGGGTTTTTTTTGGGGGGGTGGCAAATCTTACATGCACTTCTCTCAGTAGCCTATGTCTTCTGGCATAATTAGTATGCACACGGTAAGCCTCATCAATGTCTCCTTTCAACTCTTGTTCTTTTTCGGTAAAATTTTGGTGAAGATTTTGATCATTTTTCCTTTCAGGTCTTCCTCTTTTTCTTCCACTATGTTTTGAAATCTTAAATAGAATGAAGCTCTTTCATTCTCAAGTTGGATTATTGATAACTCTAATTCTTTATTGGCTTGTAAATATTTCAACTCCATTTTTTCCATCTTCTGGTCGGTTTGTTCTATTTTTTGTTTCAATGTTCTGGATTTTCGGTTTGTTGATTGCTAAAGCATTCTGTATCCAAATTTGTCATCCACGTTTTTGATATTTCCTTTCAATTCAAACAGGCCAATGACATTAGTGGAATTAGTACTGAAAAGCCAGAAAAATAATAAAACCCCAGGACCAGATGGAATACCAGTGGAGTTATACAAATATAATAAAATAATATTGGAAGAACTAGTAGTGGAAATGTTTAACGAAGTTTTAGAGAAGGCCAAGATGCCTGAATCATGGATGGAAGCAATAATATTGCTAATCCTGAAAGAAGAAGCCAACAACTTTGGCTACAATATTGAATTAGACAAATGGGAAAAATTGGGGGGAACAAACTTAAAAATGACACTATCAGTTGCATAGCTGGTACCTGGCACCAACAAGGTTAGCTAAAATCTCAGCAAATACTCCCCAAAATGTTGGAAATGTGAATCAATACACGGAACATGTTACCACTTATAGTGGATTTCCGAGAAGGCTAAAATATTTTGGAAAAGGGTCAAAAATTGGGTAGAGGCAATAATAGGAGTCAAAATAGATTGGAAACCCGAAGTTTTTTTTACTAGGAATAATGATTGCAAAATATAAAAAAGAAATCCAGTATTTAATTTTACATATAATTACGGCGATGAGGATTGCCTTCTCCCCAAAAACAAATTAATTCCAAGTGAAGACAAAATAATAAGAAAGGTGATGGACTGTGTCGAAATGGATAAATTAACAACAACAAAAAAAATCCAGGGAAAAGAAGAAACAGAATACTACCAGATATGGAATGAATGGTATAGGTGGATGGAGGAAAGAAACAAGGATCAGTGAACGAAGCCAATAAAATCCAGAAATAGTAGTTAAGGAGAATTAACATATATATATATATATATATATGCATTCAAGAGGTTTAAATTTACTAGAGGTAATCAGCCATTATAGCAGACAGATGGGTAAAATAAGAGGGTTAAGAATGGTGAAATGCTAATGAAATATACTAGAAGGGGAAATAATATAAGGAGAGTGGTATCGATTGGCAATTGCTATTAGAAAGAACAGGAAGTTTCTGTTCATATCGTATTGTATAAGTTTTGTGTGTGTGTATTTTGCATGTTTATAAATAAAAAATTTTAAAAAATGGGATTAAAGGGATTTATAATGCTATCTTTGAAAGAACTACAACATATGTAAAATATTCCAGGAGATAAATTCATATAGCAATAATTATTTTCAAAATATTCACCAGAAGATGACTCATAATTTATCAACATAACCAAAGAAAGTAATGTTTCTGGGAATCTAGCAAACTAACATTTAAACCCAGATTTACTGACAGGAAACACAGACACAAAGCTGACCCAGATAGAAACCTGAAAATCTGTCCATATCCAGAATATGAGTTAAACCAAATGAAGATATTATTACTTAAAATGTTTCATTACTGCTCAAGGATTACTATGATGCCCTTCCCTCTAATAAAAGATCTGCAGAAAATGTGATCAAGATCAGAAACATTTTCATTATTGTAAAACCTGAAGAGTACAAGTAATTCTGGCTTGATGATGGTTGCTAGGTAAGCTCCTTGTTAGGAGAATGAGTGCATGCAGAGAAGTGTAGTGAAAGTGGTGTGGAAGAAATGCATAAACCAGCATACAGAGACACTGAATTGTAAAAGAGATAGTATTTTACTTCTGTGGAAATAGAGGTATGCAGAGTCCAATTCATACACAATTAAGACAGTCAGTCATCAACATTCTCAGTTAAGGAGTGATCCATCGATCACAGTCCAGTATCATATAATCAGTTCAGCACACAAAGTCGCTAACAGTAGCAAAATTCACAGTAATTCACGCTGAGCAATACACAACACATCTACAAGCAGTATCCACCGATCAGCATCTAACAAACAGAGAGCTAACAGTCATTCTGGCTCCATCTTATGGCCGCTTGAGGTAATAGTAACCAATCACATTTACAGCAGTACTTAAAGATACAGTACTACTATCATGGCTCATATATTGCTAATCCAACTGTTAGCTTACATTCCTAACAATGGTAATTGAGACCTGCAACTCCATCATTAAGCAACATGTGGCTATGCCAGCTGACCATGGCCCTTGACTTGTTGCAGTTCCAGTTGCCATCATCCCATGCAGTTGAAGTGTCCCTTGGTCTCATGATCATCATTTGTGACTTCCTGCCAGTTTCCACATTGACCTTGCTTGTTGGAAGCTAGCAGTGGATATTGTTGACTGAGATAGCGTGACTACAAGATGCTGCAGCCATTGTAATTGCAAGCTGGTTGCAAAGGACCGAATCGTGATCCCATGACCATGGCGATGTTACAATGCTGTAGCTACAAAGAATGGTCATTATCTCCCTTTGTTCACTGCTGATGTAACAGTCACTGAATGAATGGTCATTCAATAAGGACTATCTATATGGTCCTCAGAACATTGACACAAGGCTTGATTAAGGTATCAAAAATATAAAGGCCATGAAAACAAATAAATTTTAATGTAGATACACTGGAATTATCAAGTTACTTTGAATCCAAGCAGGAAGGAGGGATTCTAATTGTCCTTCTCTCTCTGACAGATTCACAGGATTGCTAGGTTTACAGTAACGAAACATATGTACAGTCAATACCATTTTTTTCTAGAATCTTTAATTTATTTGTACTTACCAGAAGGACGCATAAATTTAGTTCTTTCTGAATAATGGTGACATACATTTTGTATATCATCTAAAATGGCCTCCAGGTCAGTGGACAAATGTCTTCTTTGCTCAGTTAATTCTTGCAGCTTATATTCTACACAATACAAAAATAGTAATATTCATTAAAGTCAACCTTAATATTATCTACATTTCAAAATTTTAATGATCAGCATATATCTTATTACAAGTTCCATTCATTCACAAGAAATTAAATTGTACCACATTTTGCACTCTGTGCAGTTGATGCTAAAACCATTAACTGATTTTGTCAGAGAAGGATCTTTGCTTGTGCTGTATTCTCAGGAATGTAACCTAGAATAAATTCTTATACATCTCTTTCAGACAGCAATACTCTTAACCCAGTGGTGAAATTCAAATTTTTATATATGTTCTGTGGGCATGGCTTGGTGGACATGGCAGGGGAAGGATACTGCAAAATCTCCATTCCCTCTCGACTCCTGGGGGAAGGATATTGCAAAATCTCCATTCCCACCCCACTCTGGGGCCAGCCAGAGGTGGCATTTGGTGGTTCTCTGAACTACTCAAAATTTCCACTACCGGTTCTCCAGAACCGGTCACAACCTGCTGAATTTCACCCCTGCCTTAACCTACATTATTCATATCTGAGCCTAGTGAGAATTTCTTGACTTAAGACTCTCTCTGGACAAGCTTTACTATGTTTTGCAATTGAGCAGGTTTCCTAACAAGGCATAAAATTTGAAGGATTATTTTATAATACATTTAACTAAAATATATAATTTTTCATGTGATACAGTTTAATTTATCCAATCCATCTGATGAAGTGTGTTTGTAGTTATTACAGCTTTGAAATATGAACGGCTGATAAAACCTAGTTAAACCTAAAACGTAGTTAAACCTTCTAATCTGATGACTTCCAGACTAATCTGTGATTACTTTTCAACCCTCACTGAAATAGTTTTAACACATTGTAATTTAAATAAAAAAATAACATTAGTAACGGTTATTCACAGTCAAGAGCCTTTATTCCATATAAACCCTGTGTTCAACTATATGACTCCAAATATGTCTGTGTATAGCAATAGTATTTAGACTTATACACCACTTTACAGTGTTTTTTACAGCCCTCTTTAAGCAGTTTACAGAGTCAACTTATTGTCCCCAACCATCTGGGTCCTCATTTTACCTACCTTGGAAGGATGGAAGGCTGAGTAACCCTGGTGGGATTTCAATTGCCAAATTGCAGGCATCTGGCAGTCAGCAGAAGTAGCCTGCAGTACTGCTCTCTAACCACTGTGCCCCCAAGACTCATTGTATATGTATATACAAAGATTTAAAAAATAAAGAGAATACACACATACCATTAATACTGTCTGATTGTGTAGTTGAAAGTTCTTGAATTTCTTGTATCTCTTTCAAATTAGATTCCAGTATTTCTAGTAACTGTTGTTTTTTCTTGGTTAGTTCTTGCAACTCATGTAATTCTTTTTCTGTAAGCAAAAACTTTCAGAATGATTTCTTCAGAATTTCACTTGGCAATAATTTCTCTTAGTTAATGACCACAGTGAAGTTATCTGTATTTGAGCTCTTCAGAAATATGATCAAGCTCCTCACTATTGCATTATATTTATAACAAAAAATAATCGCAATATAGCCTAATTTGAATTTCTAAAGTCAACCTCCACTAAAGTGCAGATTTGCCTTGGTATCTCCTACTTTTTCAAAACTCCTCTCAATTTACTATAATTACCAATTTGCCTGATAAAGAAATTCTGAACTCAAACGCTTACTACCTTGTGAATTAAAGTTTTTCAAAAGAATAGAAAAATTTATTAGGTGGGGGAAAAAGACAAGAAATTTTTGTTTTATCAAATTAAAAGAAACGTTATAAATGCCAATTTATCCTATCAAGAAGATAAAGATAAAGGCAAAACTGCATGGTAGCTCTTTTATTTTTTTATGGTTTGTGGAAAAGCATAAAGAAGGGGGAAAGCAACCACACACTTTGGTAAGATCATAAAGAGTGACTGAATCACTAATTAGTGTGCATACATATTGGAAGCTCACTCAACCTATGCAGCATAAGAGGACCAACTAAATTGGTTGATGGATCCAGATTTAACAGAATAACAGAGTTGGAAAGGACCTTGTAGGTCTTCTAGTCAATCTCCTGCTCATGGAGGAAATCCTATATTATTTCAGACAAATCATACAATCTCTTCTTAAGAACTTCCGGTGTTGGAGCATTCACAACTTCTGGAGGCCAGTCATTCCACTGATTAATAATTCTAACAGGAAATTTCTCCTTAGTTCTAGGTTGCTTCTATCCTTGATTAGTTTTCACCCTTTGCTTCTTGTCTTGCCTTCAGGTGTTGAGGAACAGATTGATTCCCTTTTCTTTATAGCAACCCCTGGAATATTGGAACACTGCTATCATGTCACTCTTAGTCCTTATTTTCATCAAACTAGACAAACCGAATTCCATCAACCATTCTTTATATGTTTTAGCCTCAAATTGCCTAACCATCTTTGTTGCTTTTCTCTGCACTCTTTTTTACATTGTGGCGACCAAAACTGGATGCAGTATTCCAAGTGTGATCTTACCAAGGCATTATAAAGTGATATTAACACTTTATGTGATCTTAATTCTATCCCTCTGTTAATACAACCTTGGGTTTCATTAGCTTTTTTGGCAGCTACAATACACTGCTGACTCATATTTAATTGATTATCCACTAGAACTCCAAGTTTCCTCCCAGTATTGAACCAGGAACTAGGTAAAAGATTTAGGAGTAAATAATCTGACACTGGGCAACAGCTAGGATTGTGTTTTAAATATCTATTGTAAACAGTTTTATTCTATATATAGCCAGTCCTCAAATTATGCTGGTGGTTGGGACTGGAATTTCTATCTTTAAGCAATGCGGTTGTAAAAGTAAGGGTGCATGAGGATGTGAGGGGTGCTACACAAGAGATGTGGTGAGACATACAGAAACTCTGCAAAAATGCAAAGAAAACCCAACAAAGCTCAAGGACAGTGAATGAGGTACAAAGAAGACACAGTGAAGATTCAAAGGAGTGCACAATGGTGACAGAAGACATGTCAAAGCTCAGAGAGGAAAAGCAGAGGTAGATAAGTGGTAGGGAATCATAGCAAAGCTTAGGGAGAGTGAACGGAAGTGTACAAATGGCCAGCACAGCACAAATGCTGAGGATTTGGGGGAGGGAAACTTAATCCAAAAAATCCTTCCCCGCTGGCTTCCCAATTGATTTTCTGGAAAAGCTAGGCAAGAAAAGTTGCAAATGGTGATCTTGTGATCATGGAACACTCTAGTCTTAAGCGTGAGTTGGTTTGCAAGTGCTCACATCTGATTAAGTGTTGCCTAGCAAATTCCAGCTCATTCTTGTTTACTGGTCTCTTTGCCAGCATTATTTTTGCTGATGCACTAAAAATTTTCTGCATAGCTTTTTACCACTTCTGTAAAAGTTTTATTTCTCCACCAACCTCCAAAGTTTCTCAGCAAACCTAAGATTTTCAATCTGCTTTTTTGATAATACAAACTACGGTAGCTGCGGTGAAAATTTGCAAGATTCAGAGAATTAGAAAGAGAAACCAACATATAAAGATTCTAATAGACTCAATTATTACAATGATTGTAGCTTCCAAAACAATATGAATGTGAGTGCGGCTTTTTCTAAACTTCTTAGCAATTATTTTCTTATTTACCAGTAGATTGTATAAGTATAGTCCTTTCTGAAGCCTTATGACATATATTTTGTATATCATATACAGCTGCTTCCAGATCTGAGGTCCAATGTATTCTTTGTTTAGTTAACTTTTGCAATTTATGCTCTATGAAAAAAAAATGAAAATAAAACATTACTATATAAGACGCTACATAGAAAATTCCAATGATTAGCAGCTATCAGCATTATCTTTGAAGAGGTACCTATGCTTGAAATTATCCTGAGGTTCAAATCTCAACTTAGGTGAATATGCTCTGATCCAGGACTCTACAGGACAAAGCTAATTGCTATTTTTGCAGTAGGGCTGTTTTTCTAAAATATTAATATATATTATTCTTAATTGCAATAGACAAATGGACAGATATTCCAGCCATGTGTGCTCATGGTTTTATGTATGTGAGCTACCAAAATTTAATACCTATCTTTACATCTAAGAATAAACATACTAGTAGCACAGTCACTGAAGAGGACAGCCTTTTTTTTACAAGATGGCTTCTGGATTATGAAAGGCTTCTATGAAACTGTTTTTCACTTGGCATAACATGAATAACAGTAGCAAATGCTATCAATCATGCATCTTCACCATAAATAAATGTTAGTATCTGATTCAAAATGTATTTGTGTGTGTTTTAATTTTTTTTAAAAAAAACAAACCCATGTACCATTGATACTGCCTAGTCGAATTACTACTTCACCATAAATATCTGTGTTTATCTGATTCAAAATGTGTCTGTCTATCTGTCTGTCTGTCTGTCTGTCTGTCTGTCTGTCTGTGTCTGTGTTTTAATATTAAAGAAAAACATCCCACGTACCACTGACACTGTCTGGTTGGGTAGCGACAAGTTCCTGAATTTCTTGTATTTCTTTCCGATTAGAGCCCAGTGTTTCCAGTAACTGATGTTTCTTCTCAGATAGTTCATGCAACTCATGTATTTCTTTTTCTGCAAGCAAAAGTATTATAAATAATTGTTTCAAAAATATTTTCAAGTTTCCCATTTTACTACTGCTTTCAAAATATATTTTTTTCATCATCTTGTCTGATTACAAGAGTTTGTAGTTGGACATTTGGTCACTATAGCATCTCTATCTCCCAAGCTCCCATCTCACTAGTCTTTTGGAAGTTCTTAAAAGGTTAGTTCCCCCCCCCCAAGGATTAGATTAGTGTGAGGCTGGAACCCAGTGATTGGGGTTTTCATAAGATTGGTGGTCATTTAAGTCTCATAAATACATATATACATTTCCCAAAGTCAAACTGAATAGATATGTCAGAATACCTCACTATTCTTCTGAGGAATCACTACATATAGATGAAAAAGCATATAATTATCTTCACTCTTTGATAGTTAGGTTTACAATACTAAAACAATATGCACAATCAATGCTGTTTTTGATAAAATTCTTATAATTATTTCCTTACCAGTAGGTTGTATAAATGTAATTTTTTCTGAAGCACGACGACAAACATTTTGCATACCATCTAGAGTTGCCTCCAACTCTGTGATCAAACTTGTTCTTTCCTCATTTAATTGCTGCGTCCTATGCTCTATAAAAAATCATACTATTATTATGCATAAAAATAGATTAATTCATTAAATTAATTTTTAGTGTTATCTGTATTCAAAACATTAATGATTGATATATATCTAGATAACAGAAAGAATTCTTAGCTCTCTAAATCCTCCACTCATTCATTGGTGATTAAATGTAAGCCATTACATACACTGGAAATTAAAATTATTAAATGGTTCTCAGTGGAAAATCTATCCAGCTAAAATATTCTCAGGAAGGATGTTGTGCTGAAAATACCACCAGAGCTGAGAAAACGTCCTTATAAATGTTTCTTACATAACATTACCTTTAAACAAGCACATAACTTGAAATCAGCCTACAATGTGAGCTTAAGTGAAATTTTCCTGACATACTTCTCTGAATTCTATAGTTCCAAATTGTCTTTTCAGATTTTGTGACATATTAATACATATTATTCTTAATTGCAATAGGGAAATTCTACTCTGTGTGCTTGTAAATGTGGCCTTTCAAAGCTATTACCTATTTTTGCAACTAGATATGAGTACATAAGCAATATAGATAGTAACTGAAAATGGCAGTCTTTTTGATAACCTCCAGATGAATTTGGAACAGGCTTTCCTTTTTCACTTGATAGGTAGTAAATCAATTGCAATACCAATGGCAATTGTTAATCATATCTTCATCCAAAATAGTGCACCTATGCTTGATTCCAAATATATATGCTGCATTTATATAATATAAAAGTTTATTTATATAGTATAAGCAATACCACATACCAGTAACACTGTCTGGTTTGATAGGTGCACATTTCTGAATTTCTTGCAGCTCTTTCTGGTTAGATTCCAGTGTTTTCAGTACCTGATGTTTTTTGTCAGACAATTCATTCAATTCATGTAATTCTTCTTCTGCAACCAAACAGACTCAAGACAGGTTTATTCTAAGCCACAACACAACAACAAAAAGTGTGTGTGTGTGTGTGTGTGTGTGTTTGTGTGTTCAAAAAAAGAGAAAAAGTGATAAGAATATAATAAAGATAAAAAATATAAAGAAATGACTTGCTTTCAAACTTGTCCTTCCAGAGATTTTAACAACTTAGAAATAGTTAATGTGTTATTTCAAAAGGTAAACAGAAGGTGAAGTTTACAAATTTGTGCACTCCATGATTATGAGCAAGACTGCTAATCCCGTCATTATCTCATAGTTCAAACCCATGGAAAACCATTATACTGCAATTTCATTGCAGGGGGAGCACAGTTGAACATTCTTCTTTTAATCCATTCACTGGGACAGTGTTTAATATTCAGCATTAAAGACTACTAGTCATTGAGAATGAAGGCAGGCATCAGTGATTGTGTTTCATTTTGATATGTGTGCCAACTAGCAAAATCTGTTCCTGGAAAACCAGTTGCCTTGCTGCAATCTGTCAGATCACACTTATAACCCTGGGACACAATATGAGTGAATTTTATTGTTGATCTCTCTCTGATATAGAATTATATCACCATTCTGACAGTAGTGGCTTTGTTTAAAGGCTTGGCCATTTAATTCCTTACAATGATCTTCCTAGAGCTTAGGAAACAACACAACTTTTTAAAGATTTTAGATGTAGACCCCTGTTCAAACATATGAACTCAGATTGCTGATTGCAAATTTCCTCCAAGCTTTGGAAGACCTTTTTTCAATTATTGCATATTAACATTACTTTCTTCTATCATCTGTCTTTGAAAGAACTACAGTATAATAACTACAGTATATGGATATTCCAGTTGAAATAGCAAGCATTTCTCCATGTAGACCTATATTTTATCCACCAAACTGAAGAAACTATATTTAATCAATTCATAAATTTGGCAAACTAACTTAAAAAATAAATTTAGAAATATATACAAAGTTGACACAAATAGAAACTTGAAAGTCTGTTTACAAAGCACAGCAGTTAGGGTTTTTAAAATATGTTTTTAATCCAGAATATAAATATAACCAAATCAAGATTATTCATAACAGCACATGTAGTGTTATATCTGAGCGTTATTACAGTAACCTTAATTCCTGTAATAAATCTGCAGCAAGCAGGACCAGAAAGAGCAGTGGTGGGATTCAAATAATTTAACAACCGGTTCTCTGCCCCTAATGACCAGCTGGTAGGCGTGGCTCGTTGATCATGTGACTGTGGGGTTGTGGCCAACTCAATGTCATTCAAGTTGATGGGCGCTTCACCTTAGCTGTTACAATGTAATAAGGGTTAACTGGAGAGGCAGTTTCTGTAATAAAGATTACAGAATAAAGATGCAATAAAGATTAGGCTAGAAACAACACCAGAATGTTTCCTTCCTGCCTTCCTTACAGGATTAGCCCTGTAAAGTGGGAAAAAACCAAAATGAGATTTCTTCCAACAACCTGTTCTCCGAACTTCTTAGAAAGTTAACAACCAGTTCTCCCGAATAGGTGCGAACTGACTGAATCCCACTGCTGAGAAAGAGTGACCACTACCAGAAATGTTTGGGCAAATAAAGGGTTTCATAATTGTAAAAACTGAATAATTGGGCTTCTGTAACCAGTACTAATTGACTAAGGCATGCTTAACATACTAATACAATATAATATATTTTAAATCGAGACAGGATGGAAAGTAATCTGATTGTCTGTTTCTTTCTGATAATCTCAGTGATTACACCAATTGCTAAATTTACAGTATTAAAACAATATGTATAATCAGTGTTACATTTTATTAAATTCTTAGTAATTTTTTCTACTTACCAGAAGGTTGTATAAATGTAATTCTTTCTGAATTATGACGACATAACTTTTCTATATCATCTAGGGTTTCCCCCAAATCCATAATCAAAAATCCTTTTTGCTCAGTCAATTTTTGCAGCTTATGCTCTGCAGAAATTCATATTATTGTACATAAAAACAGTTAAGTTCATAAACTCGATCCTTATTATTTATCTAGATTTCAAAATGTTAATTACATATTGCAGGCATTAGGAATAACACAAAACCTTCATACTCTTTATCAGCCCCAATCTTGGAAGGTGAGGGTGGAGAGAGCCAATGAGAATTAAATTGTATGCAAACTCTATCAGGAAATACATTTATTGTGACCTCAGGTTCTACTTATTGCCCTGTTACACCTGAGAACCCAATCACGACAAGATATAGGCATTTCCTTCTTTTGAGTGCTGTTCAGGAGACCTCCGACTTATACATTGTTCCTATAACTAATGCAGCCAAATGTTTTGTAATGGAAAATGCTCCTCCCCCAAGGAGTCAACCTGCTATAATCTCTCAAATACAGCCCTGACTGAAGATATTCCGGTCACCTTCTTTCTCATATAAAACTTCCCCTGGGATGCTTTTTTCTTAAAGCATACTTGTATGTCCTAGCTCACTCCACATGGGGACATTGTATTCTCAGGTGACTAACCATCCACTTGCCTCCCTCAGGAAGTGACATCTCTAAATGCTAGACTGTGACTCACACACAGCCTTATTTAACCAAGTGGAATATATCATGCTGGCTATTTCCCTCATAGTTGTCTCTGAGCTAATTCAAAAAATATCAATTGCCTCACCTATGCACCAGCTTAATACAATGTCCCAAGTCCTAGAAGCACTGAACTTAGACAAGTTCATGAAGTAATTCTCAAAAACAAAACACCATTGATTATTTACTGCTAAGACACAACCACAATTGCAAGGAACTTTGAGGTTTGTACTACTTTAACTTGTCCAAAAACTCCAAGCTCATAGAAGACAATATTAAGGATTTCAAAAAATTAATTAAAAACATCAGATACAAAACATTCCCATTTGATTTAACAGGGCTATTTTCATTGACTAAAAGCCTTCTTCCTGGAAGCTATCACCACCTTTTTGTTGCCACTTTCAGTGCTTCCCCACCTACCCACCCAACTCTTCCTCAGTAACTTGCAAGACTATCTTCCTCCTCACAAACCCCATAACAAAAACCCCAACCACATTTCCCTTATAACAGATGAAAAATACAAGATCTATTCAGATGAGCCAAAGGTTGTGCAATATATATTGTAACATACATACATACAAACATACATACATACATACACATGTGTGTGTGAGAGAGAGAGGACCACAGATAGGTGTTCTTGCGTGTGCCAGTTCTGCCTATTGACTCCTGCACTGCGGAAAAGAGACAGAAGAGGCAGGCAATGACAAAGACAGAAGAGGCAAGGTTCAGCACTGTAAAAGGACCCTGCCATCACAGCCTGGCTGCTATTCACCAAAGGACCAACATAGATGCACAGACATTTCCACCCACTTTTGGGGTGGGGGGCTGTCTCATGGAGTGAAAAATATAGTAGTTCCTGATGTGCCATGGATAAACTCATTCTCCCTTGAGGTAGCCTTCAAGGAATAGTCAGAGGAGTCTCTGTCCAAGAGAGACATCACAAAGGGACAACAGCACATCATACAACAAAAGTAAGGTGACCAGATGTCCCGATTTCTAACAATTTGTCCCGTGTCCTGTGGTGTTTTTTAAAAAGTCCTGATTTTCTGGCTTCATGTTGAAAGCCCAGTGGATTTGCTTAAGAAATCCTAACCAGGGCAAGACAAAAGACACCTTGTCTAATCCCTCTCTCTTTCTCCAGTGAACTGCTCGGAGAGTCAAATGCTGGGTGAACACAGCCTATCTGCCCTTGGACTGAGTGATGTTTTTTAGTTGACCATGCCTCCCTTTGCCTCTGCATGCTCAGTTCGAAAACTCAGTCTGTCCGTTAGGACTGTTTTTGGGAGAGCTCCAGTCTAAGATCAGATAGGCTGGAAAGTTTCCCACTTTGGACCACGTTTGGATTCTCAGATAGAGAAAATTACAGCTACTGTAAGATCTGTCAAATTTGCCTCCATTGAGGCTTCTGTTGCTTTAAAAGGGCTACCGGGCTTTCTCTGCTGCTGCTGGTTGCAAGCACTCCAGAGGATTGCAAAAGCTCGCCCAGCGGATGCTGGCGAGCGGCAGGAGCGGTTAGTGGGGTAAGCAATTTCCCCAGCCAGGACACGGGGGTTCCAGGCGAAAAGAAGCCCCAGAGAAGGCTCTGAAGCCTGCAGGCCGTATTGCTAGGGATCCCTCAGCTGCTCCATTCTGCCCGGCAACAGCGGCGACAGTTGGAACCTTCGCGCGCTTTTCTGGGCTGTGAAGCTGGAAAGAGCGGGAAGCGGCTGCGCGCGCACCCGCCGCCATTTTGGATCGGCAAGAGCGCAGATCGTGCGAGGAGCGAAAATTATTCCAGAGGCTGCTAGTGAGAGGCAGGAGAAGCGAAGAGCCAGACAGCCCACGCGGAGCCACAGCCAGCCCTCAGCGACGGCAGAACGCCACAGGGAGGCTGGGGACTAGCCTGGGGAGCCAGCTAGTCTCTCCCTCCTGAGAGGAAGATAAGTCTCGGGGAACCGAGGGCGGTGGGAGGAAGGAATCCGACCCCCAGGCGGCCCTTCCCTCCTCCTGAAGATT